ACCCCTGGACCTGTATAAATTAATGAACATATTCCTCAATAACATATACGTCATAATCAAATATATATAAATACAATTCTCCTACATTAGACATAACAGGGCTGCTAGGTATATACAATATACAAGTTTCACTCAGAACCTCAAGAAATGTTATGAATTAACTAGAAAAATGGGTAATTTTTACATACAGAGAGAACCAAAAACAATGGAATATGAAGACGACATTACTGCTATAATTAAGTGTATTTGATATTGTTATAGTCACTTACTAAGTCAATAATTAAGTTAACTGGGTCTTTAGTCTTTACACTGCACAATTTCTGTGTTTTTGTTCATTAGACTATTCTAAAGTCATATTTTGAGTCTAAAAGTCATCTTCTTATTCCAGAGCTTCCTGGGTCTCACTGTAAGATTAAAATTAATTTTATAATTTTATTAGAAAAGTAAACTACCAACTTCTGACTGGGCACTTTTTTTAACGATGTAAAAGATTCCAAAATGATAGTTGAAGAAATAAAAAAAGTTTTATTGTTAGGAAAATTATTTACAACTTAAAATAAGTAAATATGATACACAGGGATGTATATCCTTTATACAGAGAATTTACAATTTTTATGTAAATTTACAAATTTTATAGGTACAAAATACACACAGGTCTCATACCAGTCCTCTAATGATGCAAGTTGCAACGAGACAAAAAAAAAATACTTTTTATATAAAATCATGGTTACGTCGTTTCATTTTTAAATTATTTCGTTAGTGCTTTTAAATTCTTTTGAAAAATACGATAGTTTTTGTTCGTTTCGAAAAATCCAAAACCAAACGGAAAACAATAGTTTTTAACAATGTTTTAAAAATGATGCACACTCCTACTTAGAATACTCAAGTCATTAAGAAATCGAAGTCAATAGTCGCAAAAGAAAAAAGACTGATGGTCTTGCATAATGCATATATTAAAATTATGAAAAATGTAAACATAAATATAAGATCTTCCACCTACCTCCCCCTCTCACCCATCCAGCCCTAGCCAACCACGCCCCTTTTCTTGAGATGAGTGGGCTTACATCTAGTCCAACGTTTTAGTGGAGGTCTCTACTTCTATATGAAGGAACGCCTCCTTATTTGGGGGAATTATTCCCCTCCCCTCCTACCCATTGATGTGGTTGTACGATAACAGATATGGGTGTGAACTACATACGTTTACACTGAATTGAGGTGTACATGGCCGCAAAGGTGGGATAAAGGTTAGATACAGGAGGAGTCATCAAACATGAGACTTTTCACATTTTAGTCTGAATTCAGGTTTTGTGTATGTTTTTATTTCATAATCTTTGCCAAAACATTAAAATAAAAGATACAGTGTACATACACATATATTTAGATATTTAGATAAATAGATGGATAGATAGATAGATAGATAGATAGATAGATAGATAGATACATAGATAGATAGATAGATAGA